TTTAGCAGCTAAAGAGCTAGATATTTTCCTCTCTCAAGAGTAGTTGAAGATATGTACTTGAAGTTTCATGCATATACTGAACTGAAACCATCACAGCCATCTGTCACCTCTGTCTCCTCACTCTTACCTGTCTGCAGATGTCCTTCGCCTCCTCTGAGAACTTATCAGAGTACTCCTCCTGGTCCTCACGCACACGTCTGTCCACCTCCTCCCGCTTGACACGCTCCTTGCGCTTGCGGAAGGGCGACTGACCCTGTATCATCTCAAAGATAAGGCAGCCCAGCCCCCACCAGTCCGGGCTGACGGTGTAGCTCTCGTTCTGGATCACCTCAGGAGCTGGAGGGAGGGATGACGAGTGAGAAAAGAGAGGTGGGGGGTTCAGAGGGGTTTACAATCCAAATCAAGTGGAAATGAGACAGTTAATGAAGCTCATAAGGAGCGGTGGAGAGCTGCGATTTGTACAGAGAAGGTAAAGAATAGTTGCAGTGGCTTTAGTAAATTAGAATGAAAGACTGATTAGAAAAGGATGTAGAAAAGGGTTACTAAAATTCTTACCCATGTATCCAACAGTGCCCACTCTCCCTCGTATCGTCTCTCCTTCAGGGATTTGAACAGCAAGACCCAAGTCTGAAATTCGGATGTGTCCTAAACAAGAATCATATATGTATTACCTTATTGAGATCATGCAGAATGTACATATTTTAATTAAAAATGACACTTTTTTAGTTACTAACAAGAGGAATATATTGCATTTCCTAGATATCCATCCACAATAAGGTCAAAGCCATAGTGCCCTAACAACAATGCGTGAAAGAGAATAACAAAAATAAGAGCTGAAGAGAGACATGGTGGAGATTCCTCTATTTTAAGATAAGACCATGTTACAGAGAATAGATGAGGATGACTAAGAGGAGAGAGCGTGATGTGAAGACGTTGAAGACTAAAGCTAAAGATAATGTGCTTGTACATTGCAATGTGGAGTAGTTACAAACTGCTTGTTTGTCTTGTACCTTGTGAGGTATGGGTTATATCAAAAGAAGTGTGAAAAACAAACAATACTCTCCAGCCAAGACATGTGCCCAAATATTAGCCCACTCTGGCTTGAACTGAACAAGAAGAAGAAGAAAAAAGTTTAATAGGAACATACCACGATCATCCAGAAGGATGTTTTCAGGTTTCAAATCCCTGCGAGAAAAAATAAAACATTAGGGAGTCATTCTGTTGATATTGTTCTTGTATAAAAATTGAGTACAAGGATATAACAAAATCCTGGATAAATATTTGTATCCTTTATTAGCTTGTCATTTTTTCATTGTCTTTTATTACCCATGTGCTTTCTGTTCTTGAGCTTCTACAATCTTTCATGTGGATTAATAGATGGCTTATCTGTGCACATATCTTTATTTGCTTTATTTGTTATCATGTGTTATATTGTACTGAGCTATATTCCTGTTCTCAGCAGTGTTGCAACCGAACTTCCTGCCTGAGGATTTCAGGCTTGTAAAGACAGTACCTATTTATAAATCTCAGCTCAAAACTCATTTATATGTTAAGGCCTTTTCCAAGCCTTTTTTAATTAAAAGGTGCCACATTTTTATTTTACTTTATTTTAACCTTCTTTCAAGCCAAGCAATTGTTTGTCAAATAACTGTGCAAGACAAATACTTTATTTATTATAAACAGCTATAACATTTGAAAACTGGGGTTCTCTACTAACTAATGCCAAGCTCAACCACAATGCCAACTGTGAAGTTTACTGTAATACAAGGAACACTGTGTTTATATGACTACATGGGCCTTGTGTATGTGGGTGCATTTGTCCTCTAAGAACATCAGTGTTTATGTTAGCATTACACTGAGGCTCCATTGAGTGTGACAGGTGCATGACACCTCAGTGAAATCAGTACCATTAATCCAGCGACACTTCATCATCTGGAACTTTGTATTTGTACTTGTCCCCATCTTACACGACTGCAAACACACTAATGGAACACCATAGCTGGGACAAATAGTTAGACATATGCTGCTTTGTTTTAGACCTCTTGCATTGATGAGGTTTGCCAATTGTTCTTGGGTTAAAGGGGTTTTCCACTGATTTACACTTGCACTTCCATATAGTTTGGAGACTTGTAAAAGACAGATTTAAAAAAAGGAATGATCGAATTCAAAGGAGCAGAAGACGATATATTATATTTTGACTTTTAGCTCTTAGTATGAGTTGAGCTCATGGATGTATAGTAAGATCTGGACACACCGTTGGAGGCGGAGCTCTGTTGATTTCTATTAATGTTTCTCAATGGTGCATAAGTCCAATAAAGCCACTTCCCACTGTAAAGAAATTATCCGGATGAATGCATACTGAACACCAGAGACCTCCACCGGCCAAGCCAGCTAACTTCCAGTTTAGCCCTCTGCTAACTTGAATGGGGATAAAATGCTTTAATTGTGCGAGGCTTCTAGACTTTCCAAATGTTAGTGGACCGAATGGACTAAGTCATTTCACAAGGGTTGTGAAAAAAAATGTAGCCGCCGTCTTACACTTCTTTTCCCAAGATTGTGTAAGAGGACAAAAAAATCTTTTTGGACCAGGGTGCATCAGGGTGACCCGGAAGTTGTAATTACACGGTTTGTCTACTATGTCAAATTGGCTTCAAAGCCTGGCATACTTCCTGGGGGCTTGGTCAAGCTCCAAAATCTCAAATTTCCCATAATGCAACTCGGTATTACACCCTCACTGCCTGGTAAAAACTGCACCCCTTTTAAACTCCACATCCCCAATTTGTAACACAGGCTTTTTATCAAAAAAGTCCCAAGCCTAATAGAGATAACCCTGATGACATAACTACAACATCATCATCAGGGTTATTTTAATTTAAAAAAAAAAAAACTCCCTCCAGAGACACAAAACACATCATACAACTGTTACTGGTAGTGCTTCTCATGGCAAGTATTAATAGAATTTCATGTGCAAAATCAGTGAAGTGTCCCTTTAAAGTCTGTTGTAGGCAACAACAAGTTTACATAACGTGATTCTGGGGCTGTAAATTTCAAAACAATAGTCCTCAGAGACAGAGATGCTTAAAATACCCCTGAAATATTTCCCAAAGCCTCTATGCTTAATCCTGTCTTAATATGTTATAACATGGTCCTTTTTATTTGAGACAGTAAAGATGGCCAACCTACAGTATCTTGTAATCTTCTAAACAAAAATACTATCATTCCTCATCTGTGACCTCTGTGACCTAACCTGTAGACTATCCTCTCACGGTGCAGGTCCTCAAGGCCACAGCAGATCTCAGCAGCGTAGAAGATGGCCCTCTGCTCATCGAAGCCCGAGTTGCCCATGTTGTAGATGTGGAACTTTAAGTCGCCGCCATTCATTATGGTCAATACCAGGCACAGCGCATCCTTGGTCTCATAGGCATATGCTAGACTAACCTGGAGAGGGAGGCAAATTTGGGGAAGTGAGGGACCAGTCAAGGAATCCGTATAGAAGAGGGCATGAAGAAAGGGGGGGGGGGGGGGGGGGTAAGAAACAGGGTGGTTAGAGGAACATGAGTGTTTCATTTGGTTTTGTTCAATGCCCCAAATATTCATGATCCCAAATGGAATGTCCAGAATATATACAGAGAAACAAAGAGAAAGAGAAACAACAACAAAAAAAAGATTTCACAGATAATGAAACCCAGAAGCTTTTTCTCTCCTCGTCTGTACTCCACTGCCTCATGTCCTTCCCTTCTAATCCCACCATCTATCTCTCTTTTCTCCCTTCATTCCCACCAGCCTCCCCCTTCCTCTTTCCTTCCCCTCCCTGCAGGTCAGTGACATGCAGGGTATAGTGTGTGTGCATGTGCCGTTGTATACAAGCAGGATGTTGCTGCCATCGGGAGGAATCCCATCTGCTGTGGACTATGCAGTCAGAGACGGACCACAAGATAGATGGGAAAAAAATCTTACGGGCCAAGTGAACGACACATACATATACATATTGTACCTAAGCAAACACAAATATTACTACAAGCCAAAGCAAACATCCGAAAAACATGTTTATTAATTAGCAATGGACAAATCTATTTAATTTGGCACCACAAACAATGCCTCTCACAGTAGGCCTGGTGTCAGTTTTTTTATTTAAAAAGGCTTAAAACACTATTAAAAACAATATCCAAAAAGCCTTCCAATGATGAAAGAAGCTCCAAGTATTTAAATTGTGCAGTATTTAAATTGTGCAATCATAATTTCTTTATTGCATTACCATTGCCCGACGTCTATGCTAATGCAATAAAGTCACAGAAATAAAGAAAACCAAAGGCAATCGGCTAATTGGAAATGACTTTACCCTCAAAGGAGGTGAATCATAACATCACAACATCCGCTGTGCCTCCCTCTGGAGTTTAATCTTCTGAGGTAATGGACAGGACAGTAAGTGAATGTTGATGTTCAAAAAGAAGTCTGATTAGTGTTTCTTTAACAATTGGATCGTAGTGGCACCACTATCAGAATTTCAAATGACAGCCAGCCAATCTCCATCGGAGCGAGGTAGCTCTACCTCAGTCTCACCTGCTGGAGAGTTTAGAACAGGGTCACCCTGCCCTGTGTCTCACATACCCATATACACACCCACACACTGATATGCGGACGGTTGCTCATTAAAACATACAGTAAGCTAGCACTATGCACGTATTGACTAACAGTATGATGCACTGATCAAAAAAAGGTAAAGAAGAATAGCGAGAGAGAGAGAGAGAGAGAGAGAAATGAAGGGTTTGAGAGAGCACTTGACTCTTCTCCTTGCTACTGCTGTTTGGTCAGTGTTGCTAGGCAACAGAGCTGCTCTCGTAGGTAGAGAGGCACATGAAGAGTCATCAGTTCTGCCTGCAGCACAGAGAATGAACACACACACACGCAGAATCATGTGCCAATCCCAGGTGACAAGAGCTGCAAGTCTGAGGTTCTGTAACAAGCCCACTCCAGCCTGTGTGTGTGTGTGTGCATGCCCATACACATGCTTCTGCCATGACTCACTCAACACAAGGACGCGCAACATAGCTCACGCTGCATCAGAAACCGACTAATCCAACACGTAGTACAACTCAAACACAACCATTAGTTTCAAATGGAGAACATGGAGAGGCTTTGATGCTCAGCTCTCTTACAGTCCAGCGTACTGTACTACAGATCAATATCACAGCTCTGTACAGTAACACGGTGGAACATCGTGTTCTACAGTATGTACACATATACAAAGTACACACTGCACACAGACCCACAGAGCAAAAATGAACATGCTTATCCCTCCAGCCGCTCCTCTACATGTTCCAAGAACTTTAAACGAGCACTTGCTGTAATTTTCTTGTCTTTGGAACAATCAATTTTAAGAGAGATGCAACACTGAGCCAAAACTAAGTTTTCCTTTCCTGACGGAGCACCTGAGATGTTTTTGTGCGTACAGATGGGCAAAATGGAAAGAGAAGCACACATCACTAGTTTTCC